GCGAACACGATCGCCTGCTGTGTCCGAAAAAATGCTTTCGACACTGATGTCAGAACAGAAATTAGGGTTGAAATCGGAGCTACACTGACGGATCTTCCGCCTTTACTGACCAGCATACGTGTGCCTATGTTTCAGGAAATTACGGAATTTAGAATGTCATGGTAGGATTGGTGAGGGAAAGACTTTGATGGCAATGCAGCTTTGTTCGGCAAACCCAAGAGGCTCTCCTGCTACACAGGGGATCGATCCACGGGTGTCGTTGACATTCACTTTAATGCGGTGGGATAAGATGGCTTAGCGTTAACATTGGTTTTGTGTTTTGCAGAGCGTTTGGGTATGGTTCTATTATGAGACGCTTCAGCACCTTGGATTCGGTTCCAGAGATGAGGGAGGTGGATGGGTTGAGAATGTGAGGTTCAGCTCACCAGGCGGGAGAGGAAGCTCCAGAACAGAGATCCGTGAGGTGGGTGAGCCGCACCAGGGAGGAGGAATGACGCGAAGTGATAATAGCGAGAGGTGCGGAGTGGAGGACTGAACCAGTTTGACCCAGCTGCGAACTCGAGAGCGAAATGAGTTTCGCATGAATGACGAAGCTGCTCGTTCTGTAACTAATTTATTCTGACTGGACGCCTCGGATTCGCCGTCACGGTCTTTTGGAGGTAATCGACCGTCCACAGCGGAAGTCACTTGCTACGGAATCTTCGCCTGGACCCAAGAATCTGGAGCGTCCAAGTTCGAGTCCTCATGGGATTCGCAGCGCAACCGTCGGATTGAATAGGTTGAAGCCAGCACTTCTTACTGCTTCCAGTTGAACAACAATGCACTTCCACTCATTCCCGCATCTTTCTCTCAAATCTACATACGACTACGACGAATGACGTGAGAGTCTGGCTTCGCATCCCAGTCTTCACAATGCCCAATTACAACGTCCGGCGAGCGTTCGCCGCGGGAGTGTTCGCATGCTTCGTCACGTTCCTGCTGACCGATCCGCTCAAGCGCAGCCCGATCGCGCACCTGCCGTTCGAGCCCGTGCAGCATGACGCGCCGCCGCGCATGTGGCCGCCCATCATCGATCTCACCGAGAAGCTCACTTACGCGCAGCGCAGGTGCGCTTCGCCTCGTTTCGCTCAATTCCTGATGATCAGAAATTTTCGGATCCAGACGCCTGAAGCGTGCCATAGCGGTATAATTCGCATTGTTAGTTTAGAATACGGCATCCACCCCAATCTTGCTCGTATTCTAGTTTCAGTTGACTCGTTGAAAAGGCAATTCGGTGAATTCACTTCATGCTGTTTTGACGCGGCAGGTACGAAGGGGAGGGTTTCGGGCCGGAGAGTCTGGCGTGGGATCTGGAGGGGCGAGGGCCGTACGCGGGGCTCAGCGACGGCCGGGTGGTGCGCCGCAACGCCGACGACACTGCCTGGGAGACTTTCGCCTGGGCCTCCCCCCAGCGGTACCACCCTTTTACCTTATGGCTCAATTCGTCCTCAGTTCCCCTCTAAACGTGAATGACGTTACGACTACTACTCACGTGTTTGCATTCCGCGCGCTGATCCTCGCGATCTACCTTTTCGAGTTCCCCTGCCATTGCTCCATTCATATCCGCTGCTCCCAACTACGTGCCTTACACACCTGCATCGCTCCCTTCCTGCTCGTTTCGTCCCCCCGTCAGAACCCCGGAACTATGCGATTTGAAGCCCGTGGAGCTGGAGGAGGGTAAATCACCTATCGTATATGGCGTCAACATGACCCTGGTCCCCAATCTCACCACGGAGCACATATGCGGGCGGCCGCTGGGGCTGCGGTTCCACCCGGTGACGGGGGAGCTGTTTTTCGCGGATGCGTACTTTGGCGTGTTCAAGGTTGGGCGGCAGGGCGGGCTGGCGCAGCCTGTGGTGACGCGCGTGGACGGCCGCCCGCTGCTGTTCGCCAACGACCTTGATATTGCCGCCAGCGACGAGAACGGCACCCTCTATTTCACCGACACCAGCAAACGCTTCCACCGCCGGTGAGACACGAGGGGGGTTGGGAGAGAAGAGGGGGGTGGGATGAGGGTGCTCGGCTACAGATTAAACAGTAGTGTGCCTCCAGCTCTGGTGAGAAGGGGAAGGGGGGGGGGGAGGCGCACAGCTTATGACAGGAAGGCAGCACTTTCTTCCAGCGCCTGTGATGCAAGAAAAGCGGGGGAGAGGGAGAAGGAGGGGAGGAGAGGTGAGAGGTGGAATTGGAGAGAGGTGCTTGCAGGTGACACAAGTGAGGGTAGAAGGGGATGTGGGGAGAGGGGGATGCACAGCAGCAAGCACTTGCAGCGCAGGTGACGGTACAAGAGCACTCTTGGCTCTTTGTTTCTATCTGTCCCTCTGCCATTCACTGCCTCCCGTCAATCGCTCTCGGCCACTCCCCCTACCTACCACCTTCATGCTCCTGCAGGAATTTCTTTGTGGCGATAATGGAGGGGTGGTCCGATGGGCGGCTGATGAAGGTGGATCTGGCGACGGGCGAGGTGCAGGTGCTGCTGCGCAACCTCGCCTTCGCCAACGGTGTTGCTCTCTCCAAGGACAAGTCCTTCCTTGTCGTCTGTGAAACGACCAAAGCCAGGTGGGTGGCAGCATGGCAACAACGTTGGATCCAATATACCTTGCTGTCATAAACGGTGTTGCTCTCTCCAAGGACCAGTCCTTCCTTGTCGTTCGTGAAACCACCAAAGCCAGGTGGGTGGCGGCAGTAGTAACACAAGCAGCAGCACAAGCAGTGGCGTCTGTAACAGCGAGAGCAGGAGCAGCAACAGCACTGTGCCCTGCACTCCCTCATCTGTATCACACACGTTGCACCACAACTGTGGTATCACATCCACCTATCATCCACCTCATCATCCAGCTGAACATTCATCTCGCAGTATCCAACACGGCAGTCAATTCACCGCCCATCTTCCCACCCACGGTTGCAGGTGCATGCGCTATTGGATCAAGGGACCCAAGGCGGGCACCACTCAGCTTTTCCTGGACCTGCCCGGGCTGCCCGACAATGTTCGCCTCAATCCGCGCGGCCGCTTCTGGGTTGCGCTCCATGCCAAGCGAGGCATTGTTATTGGTGACTACTCTCCACGCCCTCCCTCATGTCGTTGGTTTGTGTCAAAGTTTGAATTCTGGATCAGGGTTGGGCTCAAACTTGAGGGCTGCGATTTCGGGGGTCTTGGATCAGCTTATGTGCACTGTATGCGCACTCCCTCCCTGGTTTCATGGGTGATTGATCACCATTTCTTCTCCCCGTGCACTGTTCTTTCTTCCCTTCCCTTACCCTCTGTTTTTTCCTCTTCCCACCACCTGTCACCCTTTCCACTCAACGCTACCCAAAACAATTAGGCCTCATGTTCTTGGTTGCGCCACAACCTGATGCAGTTACCACCGGCAGCGCCCCTAAACCGCTGACCTCCTGCCCTCCCTCCCTCCCCTTCCCCTCCCTCTCCACCATCACTCTCGATCCCTTCTTACAGACACCCTGGCCACGCGCCCGTGGTTACGTCGCATCCTGATGCGTTTACCGCTCGAAGTGAAGATTCTCTATGCCATGATAGTGGGGGCGCCGCACGGGTACTTGATAGAGGTGGACGAAAACGGGGAGATCACGGAGGTTCTGGAAGACAGCCTGGGGCTCGTGGTGCGGGCGATCAGTGAGGTGGAGGAGCGGAACGGGCAGCTGTGGATGGGCTCTGTGATCATGCCTCATTTGCACGTGCTGGATTACCCGGTCAAGGTGAAGCTGCCCGGGAAATTTGGGCAGGAGGGTGGGGAAGGAGAGGCGGAGGGTGGTGCTGTGGGTGGGAAGAATGAGGATGCAGAGGGTGATGCTGATGGTGATGCTGATGGTGACGCTGGTGCTGGTGGTAGGGATGAGCTGTGAGCAAGGCCAGCTGAATGCTTGATGATTGTTGGTGCATCTAGGAGCTGTATGTGTGTGCACCAGAAGGAATCCACCATGTACCTAGCTTAGGTAAATAGCCAGTGTTTTTCATTCAGCAGCACTCCCCCCTGCAGCCTGCGTGTATTCACGTGTCTTCTAGAATGTTGTATTCACAATACCGTAATCACCCGGACATAACACCCGGGGGTATTATGATAACCACAGGGAAAAAAGGGGGGGGGGTCCTCTCAACGGAAAATCCAATATAATACCCGGGTGGTTATATATGGCACTTTTTAGTGTAAGAAAAAAAATTAATTAGACGATTTGGGTGTTTCAATAGTCGTTTTAACATCACAGGTTGATGCGAGAATTCGAGTTTTGGCGAGAATGTGAGTTTCACCTCTCGGGCCACGTGCAGCGGAAGATTCGCCAGCGTGGCGACAGCGAGATTGTGGAAGGGAGGGAATCTCGGTAGATTCTAAGTGAAAGTGCACGCGAAATTTCATTCAGGAAGCGATTTTCGTCATATCCTCTCACAAAAAAACTGACTCGATAACAGCTATAATAGGGTTTCGTAAGAAAAGGGGGGTGTTATAGAGAATCACCCCAAAAGGGGGGGTATAGTACAAACGAGGTCGGCTATAGCACCCCCCCCGCACAAGCTACCCGGGGGTGTACTATTATGGGGGGGTGTTATGTCCGGGTGATTACGGTAAGTGTGTACAAGTTTGCAACCACATGATGTAACCGATATAAGGTGGCTACAACTGAATCCATGCCAGTCTATCTGCCCAGTTCAACTATTGTGTAATGGATCAGTTAGACAGGCCATTTTAGAGCATGACATGAGTCTAACCTAGCAAGGTGCACTGATACCGGATTCCAGTATTCACAGATGACCGCGATGCAACACCACCATTTCCTGGATATATGAACTGTCGTTCATATATCCCATCAACCAGGTTCAACAACACCTCTTCCCATAAACCAAGTTCAATGCCTGCAATGCAGACGAGTTGCTCCATACACCGACAATGTCCCTCACACATATTCAACAACACCTCTTCCATCCTCATCCTCCTCATCCCCTCACATCATCACAATCTAATACCAGAAATGCTCTTCCCATCGTTCTTCTCCTCCGCATTCCACCCATCTCTCCCCACCACTGCCAGCGCCGGCGCCCCTTCCACCCCATACCCCCCTCTCTCCCCTTCCCCCTCCCCCTCCTCCTTCTTCCCCTCTCCTTCCCCGTCCGTCATCCCTCCTTCAAACCCATGCACGAACCGCTCGTAGTTACTCATCTCCGCATTCTTAAACGGCCGCGGCCCCAGCAGCCTCACCAGGTCCTCCTGATGCAGCACCTCCTTCACCAGCAACTCCTCCGCCACCGCCGCCACCCCCTCCCGGTGCTTCTCCATCAGCTCTAGCGTCCTCCTATACGCCGAGTCCACCGCCTCCCGCACCTCGGTGTCGATCAGATCGGCCGTCTCATTGCTGTAGGGCTTGGAGAGGCCCTCGAGGCCCTCGCTGTTGGTGGCCTTGGGGAAGGAGAGCAGGCCGAGCTTGTCACTGAAGCCGTACACGGCAACGCGGTTGTAGGTCGTCTTGGTCACTCGCTCCAGGTCGTTCTGTGCTCCTGTTGACACACTGCCCAGTAGCACCTGAGGAAAAGGATGAAAGGAAGGTGGGGCGTGGGGCAGGGTGAAGGGCAGATAAGGTGAAGGTGAGGGGCAGGGGGCAGGTGAGGGGCAGATAAGGTGAAGGTGAGGGGCAGGTGAGGGGCAGGCGGGGGGCAGGTGAGGGGCAGGTGAGGGGCAGGTGAGGGGCAGGTGAGGGGCAGGTGAGGGGCAGGTGAGGGGCAGGTGAGGGGCAGGTGAGGGGCAGGTGAGGGGCAGGTGAGGGGCAGGTGAGGGGCAGGTGAGGGGCAGGTGAGGGGCAGGTGAGGGGCAGGTGAGGGGCAGGTGAGGGGCAGGTGAGGGGCAGGTGAGGGGCAGGTGAGGGGCAGGTGAGGGGCAAGCATACGGCAGGATAGAAGGGCAGTGGAAGCCGGGCAAGCTCAGTTCCTAGTGCAGCTCTTACATCCTGCACTGCCACACCTGCCTTTATCCTATCCCCAATGGCCTTGCATGTCATGTTGACGAGCTGACCCTTGGTCATCAGCACAACAGGCATTCACTCAGCTCAGCACATACTCACTTGTCATCCTAATATCCTTCTCACAACCATCCCACCTGCTCAGTCACCTGCTCAGCCGCCCTCCCTCCAAGAGCCTTGCAAGTCATGTCGATGAGCTGGTCCTTGGTCATCAGCATGTTCGCATTCAGCTATTCATGAAGGCACATCCTGTTTCACACTCCGAAATCAACCCCAAGCACCTCACCTGCTCGGCTGCCCTCCCTCCAAGAGCCATGCAAGTCATGTCGATGAGCTGGTCCTTGGTCATCAGCAAATTCTCATTCGGCAGGTACTGTGCGAAGCCCAATGCCGCGGTGCCACGTGGCACGATGGACACCTTGAGCAGCGGCTCCGTGTGCTGCAGGAACCATGCCACCACCGCATGCCCCGCCTCATGGTATGCCACTGTGCGGCGCTCTGTAGCGCTTATGACCTGCAGGGGGGTTGGGGACGGAGAGTGGGAGGGGGCCACGATGGACACCTTGAGCAGCAGCTCCGTGTGCTGCAGGAACCATGCCACCACCACGTGCCCCGCCTCATGGTAGGCCACTGTGCGGCGTTCCGTGGCACTTATGACCTGGGAAGGGATGAGGGATGAAGAAAAAGGGGGGTTGGTTGGGGGGATGTTGTGATGATCAGCGGCTCCATGTGCTGCAGAACACATGCAACAGCTGTTCCATTTACCTGCATGTGTTCTGCCTTTACTCTCATCCTTCATGTCTCTCCGCTACAATCACCTCTCCATCATCCCCCCACCAACCTACCTGTCCCACATCCCCTCTCCCCCCTACATTTTTCCCACCGTTTCCTCACCTTCACCACCCCCCCCCCCCCTCCCTCCTCCCTCCCCCTTCCATTGTGCTCACCTTGCCCTTCTTCTCCAGCCCGCCAATCACGCGGTCCACCGCCGATTCAAAGTCCTGCATCAGGATCACCTCGCGGTCATTCCTTGCCGCCATGAGCGCTGCCTCATTCACCACGTTCGCAATGTCCGCGCCCGCAAACCCCGGCGTCAGCGCCGCCATCCGCTGCGAGTAAAACTCCACCTCCTTATCCAACCTGACCCGACTCAGGTAAATCCGGAAGATCTGCTCCCGGCCCTTGATGTCCGGGCGATCAATCGTGATCTGACGGTCGAAACGGCCCGGCCGCAGCAGCGCGGGATCAAGAATATCCGGCCGGTTCGTCCCTGCGAGAACCACAACCCCTGACGTAGTAGTAAACCCATCCATCTCCACCAGCAGCTGGTTCAACGTATTCTCCCGCTCATCATTACCCCCGGCAAACCCCCCGCGGCCCCTGGCCCTGCCAACGGCGTCAATCTCATCAATGAAGATAATGCTCGGGCTGCAGGCACGAGCCTGAGCAAAGAGATCTCTCACGCGGGACGGCCCCACGCCCACAAACATCTCCATGAAATCCGACCCAGAGATGGACAGAAACGGCACGTCCGCCTCCCCCGCCGTCGCCTTGGCCAGCAGCGTCTTCCCCGTGCCTGGCGGCCCCACCAGCAGCGCTCCCCTTGGGATCTTCGCCCCGAGCGCCTGGTACTTAGCGGGGTTTTTCAAAAAGTGTACAAATTCCATGACCTCTTGTTTGGCTTCGTCGCACCCTGCGACGTCTCGAAAGTAGACCTTGTTCTTGCTGTGCTTGTCCATTTTTGTCACGGCTGCTTTTCCCACGTTGAAGATCCCCTTGGCACCGCCCGCGCCGCCCGGGCCGCCCATGCCGCCCATGCCGAAGCCGGACTGCAGGCCGCGGCTGAAATAGATCCAGGCAGCGATGATGAGGGCGGTGGGGAGCAGACGCAGCAGCTCCTGTTGCCAGCTCACCTCAGAAGCATAAGTCACTGGAATCTGGTGGGGTGGGCAAGGAAGTGGAGGGAAGGGGGAGCGGAAGGGAAAGTTGCCTGTCCAATCTTGAGTCAAGTCATGTCAAATCTAAAGAACACGTCCCATAAGCCGTCCGTCTCAGAATCCAGACGAAAAGTTCACTGCACTTAACCCACCCTGCTGTGGCCGTCAGTGCCCATGGCGTTCTGAGCGTCATCCAGCTTGCGTTCAAACGAGTCAACGCTGCCAATTTGGAAGTAATACCGGTAGGCCGCCATCTGCTCCACCTGCCTCCGCCGCTGCCTCCCCCCCCGCGCCCCTCCCCCTCCCCCCAACCCCCCCTCCCCCCGCCCCTGCGCCGCCTCCCCCTGCTGATGCCCGTCAAACTCCCCGTGCTTATCATCAAAGTACATCACATCTCCATCCCCGTCATAACCCTCCCCAACACCGTCACTAGCACCCGTCGCACTCCCCTTGCCCCTCGCACCAGCAACACCACCAGCAGCAGCACCAGCAGCACCAGCAGCTGCACCAGCACCAGAAACGGCCCCAGGGCGGCGGTTGGTATACACGTAGACCTTGGCCTTGCTGCGATTGACGATCTCCACCTTGGCTACGAGCCCCTTCTCCAGCAGCTCGTTCTTGAACTCCTGGAAGCTGATCTCCACCGCCTCGCTGCTCGCATCACTCGTTAGCATCGACGTGAGTGACAGGAAAAACGCCGCGGATAGCAGCGGGTAAAGGCTGTTCTGAAAGTCCTTAGGAAACGCCTCATCCCAAAAGTTCTGCCCTTTCTTGTTGCCGTCCTCACTGCCGCCGCTGCTACTGTCTGCCTTCTTGCCATCTCCCCCCTCTCCTCCTCCTGCACCTCCTGCTCCGCCTGCTGTTGCTGCTTCCTGCTGGGGCCCGCTGGCTTGAGGTTTCTCGCCTGAAAAGGATAGAAAAAACAAGAGGCCGACGAGAAAAAGGGGGGCTTGTGTGGATGTGACGAGGAGTCGAACGAGGGAAAGGGAACGAGGAGAAGCGGGCAAAAGGGGGAGAGGGGTGGGGCGGCGAGAAAGCAGAAGCAGAACTGTGGAGGATTATGAGAGGGAGGGGAGGAGGGCGCGGAGGAGGCGAGGGTCACCTGGCGTCTGAGCAGCAGCAGCGGGACGTCCCTCTTCCTCTGCCTTCCTCTTGGGGTAGTAGTGCTCGTAGTCTGCCCAGCAGTGAAAGACGCGGAGATTAGCTTGACAAACGCGATGTTAGGGTTGAGAGCGTGGAAAACTGGGAAACAACAAAAAAAAACAGGTAAAGGCATGACAGATTTCACGCTGCATGTACACGAACCTAACTGCTACCCGCTCATAAAGCGTCAAATAAGCACTCTGCAGTTTCGACAGACGCAGATAGAAGGGACACGTGGCGGATAGAGACAAGGAGGTGGCTTACTTTTCGGCTTGGGTTCTTCAGGAGGAGGGGGCGTCGTGGAGGAGAGGCGTCGGGATAAAACGGAGCTGTGACGTGGCATGTGGACCTGTGGCGATGGAGAGGGAGGCAGTGGCGAGAAGGATCGTCGGAACAGAGTACATTCCAGTGCAAACTTCAGACCCGATTCAAAGAAATCCGTTTCATAGCACATAAGTTCGTAGAGAATGAGGATAACACGAACTCCGCTCAAGCGTCCTTAGCATAGACACACCATACTTCCACCCTCCGCGACCTGAATTCCGGCCTCAAAACACCAACCAAGCATAATATGTTACCTGTCGTGAATCAGCACAGCCGAGACCTCCGACCACAGACCCCTCCATCCCACGAAAAGCGGAATACCAGCGCCTTCCGCCAAGCTGGTACGGCGCCACGGCAATCCCATGATCCCCGGCAATTCCAAGGTCGGATTGTCCTCCTCCCTCCGTCCGCGCTTTCTTTCCCCATCCTGACATTTCGGATCCAATTTCCGCCGGCCCGCCACCTTCCGCCTCGCGAATATCAATTAGGGTTGGAGTTGTATGAGGTGTGTTTGTAACGGGGTAAGCGGCTCCAGCACAGCCACGCTGGCAGTGGTGCCGCGTCAGCACCCTGGCCGCATCCAGCCACCGGCCCTTGGATCGCTGCATCCCCGATGAAAACATGATGGAGGGAAAAGCCACAATACTCGTCGGTCTCCTTAACAAATAGTAAAATATTCGGTAATGAAGGCACGAATCGTGTGCTTAAGCGGATGCTTCTTGAGCACGGCGAGGAAAGCAAGCGTGAAACGGAACGGTGGAAGAGCACGTGAATTTCGATCGGCTAGCCAAGTGAGGTCACGGTTGTGATACGTCCAGGACTAGCCGACTAAGAAGATGAGAAGGAGATCGGCAATCGCCAGACCCACGAGACTACCGCGACAGTGCCGTGCAGGAGGAGCTGTTTGATGGAAGGCGAAAACAGCGTGGAAATAGGTGAGTACATTGTAGTTGTGTGATTCAATAGCAACCAGAATAGAAGGCATCTGTACTACCAACTCCTAAAAACGATTCAGCTTGTAAACCACAGAGGCATTGCTGGTCACTTGATGAACGAAGCTCCCTAAGAAGCAGCACCAAGCAGGGATGCTGATGTGGTTAACTGACAGCTCGCCACAGCAAGGTGGATTTTTTGAAACGTCACCAGCCACGCAAGCGTCCACTCAGTTGGCCAATCGGTTTGTGGAGAGCGGATCGTGTGGGGATGCTCACCCACACAAGCAACAGCTACTGGAAGGCGCACGTCATCAGGTACGGGTGTCCATTGTCCAACAGAATCCATTCAACATATTTTAGCATCAATGAGAGGTCTATTGCGGTGGCACATGGTCCCAGACCAGTGCAGTACGTTTTCGGGTTTCATGTGGCATATGTTTTCCAGACCGCGGCTGGTTTACCTTGGCGTCCTGCGCGGTTTGACGACGCGGCCGAACACAGCCGAGCCAGACCAAAGCCATCAAACCATTCCCACCAAACCGACGTTGTCTGCAGTCGCCATGTACCAAGCCCTAGGTTTCCCTCCAAAACTGTTGACTCCACTTATGAAATGACACGGCAGCGCGGTTCGAGCTTCCACCATTGCCTCGATTCATCACCCTTCACCCACACCACGCACACTCTCCGTCAGTCACCTCGGCAAGGAACTGTAATATCGCCTGAATTAACCTTCTCAAGCTCTCCGTCAGTCTCAAGATCGTGAGCAGTAGGCTCTGAGTCAAGTCTAATCGTTTTTGGCCTGTCCAACGATTTCTAAGCTGACTCAGTAGCAGCATCTCTTTACGACGAAAAGACAAATCTGAAGCAGCGTCGGATAAGGTTAGACCTCCTCTTTTGTGAAAGTCTTGTTCTTCAAGCTTATCAGCTGTAGAGATCTCAAGCTTATCAGCTGACGACTGGCCGACTCTTTCAAGCTGCAGCGTGTCGAATCCATCAGCGTTTTCCTTTGCGGATTCATTCAACTTCATGGTAAATGGCGGGTCGGAGCTTACTAGGGTGGTCGTCGTGTCGCGTCTAGGTCGCCATTAGAGCGTCCATAGGTTTGTTCGTCATCGAGTCTTCATCTCTCGTCCGTGTTACTAACTCACTCTTCTGTTCGCCTGTACATGTGCTCCGGCTCATGGGGGTGTCTTCACGGTGTGCTCCAATGTGATGCCGATCAGCCGTCGAAGCCATCGAGGCTGCTGGTCGCGTGCCGTGCATGAGGTGGGTCTTCAGATCGGTTGGCGGTAGCAAATTGGGCATATTGAAAGGCAAATCGGACATTGCGAGACGCAGGCTAATCATGATCAGTCAAGCAGGACAGGTAGCATCCTGACAAGAAAGTCTCTGGGTAAGTGCGGGTTGAGCTCTTTGGAGGGTATTGTGAGTCTTGGGTCGCACGTAGAGAGTCGCAAGTCTGCTTCGTCCTTGCTTCAGTCCGCTTTGCTCCCGTCAGTTCTAACCCATTGCGTGTGATGTTCCGTTTGCGTGTGCTGTGTGCCATGAGAAGAAGGGTGTGGTCACACGAGTGAGTGAGTGGGTGTGGCTTGGCTTCTCTGGCAGATGGCGTCATCAGCAGCAGTCACACGAAGTCGGAAAGCCTCTCTTCGTCAGCCACACCTCATCGCTGCTGACAAGTACTTTGTAGGGTTAGGGAGCAGGGGGGAGTGTGTCTGATATAAGCGCCAGAGAGTCATTATGTGATTTCAATATCGCGTCATTTCTTACCTTGCTCCTTTGCTAACAACGCGTGCATGTCTTCCCCTTTAATGTGTTTCCCTGAACTGTCCCTTTCCTGTCTGCGAGGCCGTGGATTGGTTGGTAGAAGCAAATCGGACATCACCAGATGCAGATCGGTTGATCCGGAAGGCGTGGTGCAGGAGTGGCAGAGCAGCGGACAGAGTGTGGTATGTGCCAGGGGGTGCCTGCAGGGGGGAGTGTAGTGAGTCTTAGAGTGTCGCCGCGCAGAGGCAAGGGTCGTGTTTCTTGTCTTGCTTGTACCTCCGCCACTCGCCTCGTGCTGATTCTAACCCTCCCTTCCCTTGTTGGTGCCGCTTGTGTGTGCGTGTCTCTCTCCCCATGCGTGTGTGTGTGTGTGTCTCGTGCTTTTGACTCTGCCACTTGCCTCGTGCTGTTTCTAACCCTCCCTTCCCTTGTTGGTGCCGCTTCTGTGTGCGCGTATCTCTCCCCATGCGTGTGTGTGCTTCACAACCTGCGAGCATGGGCAGCCGGAGCAACAGAGCAACCTGGAGCAACTTGGAGCAGCGGGTGTGAAGGGAAGGCGTGGTGCAGGAGTGGCAGAGCAGCGGACAGAGTGTGGTACGCGCCAGGGGGTGTTTGCAGGGGATAGGGAAGTGAGTCGTAGAGTGTCGCCGCGCAGAGGCAAGAGTCGTGTCTCTTGCTTTTGACTCTGCCACTCGCCTCGTGCTGTTTCTAACCCTCCCTGCCCTTGTTGGTGCCGCTTGTGTGTGCGTGTCTCTCTCCCCATGCGTGTGTGTGTGGGCAGCCGGAGCAACGGAGAAACCTGGAGCAACTTGGAGCAGCAGGCGTGAAGGGAAGGCGTGGTGCAGGAGTGGCAGAGCAGCGGCCAGAGTTGGGTACGTGCCAGGGGGTGCTTGCATGGGGGAGTGTAGTGAGTCGTAGAGCGTCGCCGCACAGAGGCAAGAGTCGTGTCTCTTGCTTTTGACTCCGCCATTCGCCTAGTGCTGTTTCTAACCCTCCCTTGTTGGTGCCGCTTGTGTGTGCGTGTCTCTCTCCCCATATGTGTGTGTGCCTCACGGCCTGCAAGCATGGGCAGCCGGAGCAATGGAGCAACCTGGAGAAACTTGGAGCAGCAGGCGTGAAGGGAAGGCGTGGTGCAGGGTGGCAGAGCAGCAGACACAGTGTGGTATGTGCCAGGGGGTGCTTGCAGGGGGGAGGGAAGTGAGTTGTAGAGCGTCGCCACACAGAGGCAAGAGTCGTGTCTCCACCGCCAGCAACTACCACCTCTCGGGAATGATTGCATGTGAATGCAACGCCAGCATCTGGCAGCCTGGTGGCAGCACTGTAAAAAACAACAGCGTTATGTTCAGATGGGGCGGCTGCAGCGGTAGTAGGGTGCAGCAGATTGATTATGAATGTTCTTGCAGATCGTTTCATTGGTTCCCACTCTGCTTTTCAACCCTAGCACGCTTCCTTACCACGTCCAGCTGGATCTGACCTGTATCATCTATGATGCTGAGAGTGTTAGCAATAGAGGGGGCAACATGGACATCAGAAGAGCCAGCAGTGGCAGCACAAGGTAAACCTCGTATTTTGCCATACTTCAATTCATTTGTCTCCTGACGCATGGTAACTCATTCCTGTCGCTGGTTTGTTTCCCTCCCTCTATTCCCTACTAGTTTGTCACTGGTTTGCGACTCATTGCAACTCACTCCTGTCACCAAAACACCCTTTTTTTTCGCCGCGTACCCCTTCTGTTTCTGGCAGGCTGCAAGCTCAACTGCCAAGCCACGAGAAGATGCTGCTGAGAGAACTTCTTAAACATGGTTTAGTGACAGTTTAAGGGGGGGGCTAGATAGCTAGAGGGTGGGGCGTGCATTACTAAGGTTTTGGCTGGTATCCCATGCCACATGTTTGGCTGATGGACTCAGCCCATGCTTCTGGTGCACTTGCGTGCAGCCCATCCGTTGCTGCATGTGTGCAGCCCATCCTTTGCTGCATGCGTGCAGCCCATCCTTTGCTGCATGCGTGCAGCTCATCCTTTGCTGCATGCGTGCAGCCCATCCTTTGCTGCATGCTTGCAGCCCATGCATTGCTGCATGCAAGCAGCCCATATCTTGCTGCATGCGAGCAGCCCATATCTTGCTACATGCAAGCAGCCCATATCTTGCTGCATGCAAGCAGCCCATATCTTGCTACATGCAAGCAGCCCATATCTTGCTGTATGTAGCAGCCCATGTTTCTGGTGGTGCATGCAGGCGTGCCTTGCTGCAAGCAAGCAGCCCATGCTTCTGCTGCTGCTCGTCTGCAACCCCTGCTTCTGGATGCTTCCCACACGCAGCCCATGTTTCTTGCTGCAGCATGCATGCAGCTTAGGATTGTGGTGGCAGTCAAAATGTAATTTGTTATGTAGGTTGTAGTGGGATACTCAGAAGAGAGTTCAACCCTTTCAGGGTTTCATAAAAGTACTCCACCTGTCTGTCAGCCAGTACAACCCTCCTCCTTCCTAAATCCTAAGCCCTAGTCTCTTAACAATGTCCTGCACCATGGATGCTGCACAACCCATGTTTCTTGCTGCAACATGGTTGTTCAAAGCTGCATCATGCATGCAGCCCACTTTTCTGGTTCTTGTGTGCGTCCCGAGGGCAGAACAGTTGAATGTGGGCATATTATTGGCTCGTGTCAGGCATGATCGCTTCTAAGCATAAATGCGGGACTTCAATTTCCCTGGAATCGAGCTACTAGAGATAGCATTA